AATATATTTTAATTTTGTACTGACAATTCTATTATTAATTACATATTTCCTAATACAGTGTTTCCCAGCTGGTTTTTCATAAAAGCATATGCCTTCTTCCATTCTTCACTGTGGCTATCCATCCAGTAAGGGGAAGGAGCTCAAATATCCTGTCATATTCTTCCTTCCCTCTAGCGTTTGCAGTGTTAAAACTCACACCACCATTAACCACTCTCTATTTGTCTCAATTTGATCTTAAAATTCAAGAAAAGATAAAGAATATCTCCCGGTAGAAAAGGTAAAAAGGCCTTTTCTACTGTCTATACACTGACATTATAGACAATATCAAAGTAATCCACTGTTGCACAAAATGATTCTTCAAGGCCTAGCATAGCCTATTCTACAACAATTATGTTACTTGCTATGTTGGTCCATGTAGATTCTCTGTCCTGAAATTGCATATGCATAAAATCAATAAGCTATTTCTGAGGTGTTTTTGGCCAGCCAGAATGATTGTAGAAGGTTACATTATATTTTGTTCTGGTTTCCAGTTTTCTCACAGTTATTTTTGGAATTGTCTACACACAACTGTCATCAGGGAAAGTGTAATCCCTTCTTATAAGGAGATAAATATATGCTAGAAATTGGGCAAAAGGAATTATTGAGAAATTTTATGTATCATTTGGAGAAGCTGAGCTCAGAGCTATAAAACTAAGCCCAAAGCATGATTTCTTCCATTGCTACAGGGACTTTAACTGCACTTCGGATGTGTTACCAAGGTTATGGTTACCCTTTGATGCTATTCCTGGAGGAAGGAGGAGTGGTGACGGTCTGCAAAATCAATACTCAGGAGCCTGAGGAGACTCTGGACTTTGATTTCTGCAGCACCAATGTTATTAATAAAATTATTCTACAGTCAGAGGGGCTCCGTGAAGCATTTTCCGAATTGGATATGACAAGTGAGGTCCTACAAATTACCATGTCTCCCGACAAGCCTTATTTCAGGTACTTAAGAGCAGTGCAGTTATAGTTAATGTGGTCTGTACTCCATCTCCCCACTTACACATTTGCTAAGGATACAGAATTTTCAGAACTTTAGAGAGCTTGTACTCTTACATCATAATCTTTCAAATCATGACACTTAAGCCCTAGGAAGATTAACTCGCTATTTAGGGTTTCATAGTTAGGTAGTGTTGGTTTCCAGATGAGAAGCCAAGTCACCTAATTCATAAACTAATAGTCTTTTCATTGTTGTATTACTTACTGTTGTAGACCAGGTTACATTATGAGGAAAACTGCACTTAAACATTTCAAAAAGCTGTTTGTATTATACAGTATCTTTTTCTCTTTCTTTCAAGTTAGTTCTGGATGCAAAAAGAAGTAGATGTTTTCTATATGTGGTTAATTCACTAAGTATCTGTTGATCACCTACTGTGTGCATATCCATTTTATTAAGCACCATGGGAAGAATTGCTTAAAATCTAGGCAAAGAGGAGGTATGTGAAACAGCAGAGAGAGAACAAAATTGCTAGCCATTAAGTACCATAATTACACACGGAGATACTTAGGAAACAGTACATGAGTACTTAGGGAGGATTGGTCAAGGTCAGTTTCCTAACAGAGGACAACTTTCAATGGGACTACAGTGTCAAAAACTATAAAGCTGCTCCTGATATTTTGACCCAACAAATCATAAAATGACTAGTCTCTTTTCAGGATGAGAATCAATTTAGAGAGTCTAACAGTTTAGAAAGGGGATCTAAATATTTTTTGAACTGTTTCAGAATATTAAAGAATAAAGGAGCTAAATTCATGTGGAATAAAATGTCTTATTGTCCTTTTTGTATCTACTTTAGAAGAATTTCAGGCTCTTCTCATGGCATTAGACAGTTAAAAATTTGCCTCAAGCTTTATTAAAATGTTAATCAAAGTGGAAATCTGGCCAGGGGTGGTAGCTCAAGCTTTTAATTCCCAACACTTTGGGAGGCCAAGGCGGGAGGAATACTTGAGGCCAGGAGTTTAAGATAAGCCTGGCCAATACAGTGAGACCCCATCTCTACAAAACATTAAAAAATTAGCTGGTGTGATGACATGCACCTCTTCTAGTCCTAGCTATTCCAAAGTCTGAGACAAGAGAATTGCTTGAGCCCAGGAGTTCGAGGCTGCAGTGAGCTATTGCACCATTGTATTCCAGCCTGGGTGACAGAATGAGACCCTGTCTTTTAAAGAAAAAAATGGAAATCAAGGAAACCCTACTTAAGCAGTGGTGTGATTAAAATTATAGGCACTTAGACAGTATTTCAGAGGATATCCTCCTATGTGATCTTTCTCAGCATGGATAACTAGATGGATCATGGTATCTTTCATCTCCAGGATGGGAAATGATTTGGTGGTAGGGAAGTAGGAGTTGAAATTTTTTTCTGGATATGTTAAATTTGAGGTACCTGTGACACTAGGGAGTACCTATAGGGATATATAGGTATAGAGCTCAAGAGATCAGTCTAGTCTGGGAATTTAATTTAGGATCATCATGGCTGGGCATGGACGGATGGCTCAGAGAAAGAAGTTATATTATTAATAGAAGAAGAAAGAAAAGGAAGACTCTGGAAAACCCAACACCTGGAAGATGAAGAGTAAAGATGGAGCTTAGGAAAACACTAGGTCTTATCACCATGCTCATTTAGCACTTACCAACATGGTAACCTCGTAGCAAATGCTCCAGAAGTTCTTGCAGATTAAATCAGCACATTAACATTTATATGTTGTCTACACGCAACTGCTGACACAACCAAGTGAGGAAAACCATAAACCAGCCTTAAGAATAGTCTAAGATACAGAAAAGCCGTGATTGCTTGGTGTGGCAGTAAAGATTGGGAAGAGGACCCAAGGCTTGCAGTTAACTTAGATCAAATCTTCCATCACTCAACAATTCACTGTCCTCTGTTATATGTTTCTGACTTAGGATGAAGAAAAGTTATTATCAGGGTAGGATTGAGGTAATGAAATTGAAACAACACCACCATTCCTTTTGTGACTGGTTTTCTTCAAAGGTGTTGATTGGTTGCTAGTTGCCCTGTACTCCCACAGCATCCTGTGGGAACCTTTATTATGGTACTGGTTACAGTATATTGTAAACATTTGTTTACATGTCTGTTTTATCTACCAATATAAGCTTCTTAAGGAAGTGTTTGCTTTATTTGTATCCTAACATGGCTTATTATTGGACCAATGAATAAATGAGTTGCCCATTTTCTGTAGGTTATCTACTTTTGGAAATGCAGGAAGTTCCCATCTTGACTATCCTAAAGATTCTGATTTGATGGAAGCATTTCATTGTAATCAGACCCAGGTCAACAGGTCAGTTCTTAATATAGAGGTTGCCATTGATGATGAAGGTGAGGTTAAATACCAAATTTCTATTAAATAAAAAAACTTATTAATCTGTTAATAAAAATGCATAACATTTTAAAAAAGTGAACAGTAGGGTGCCAGACTTATTTGGGGATTTGGAGTTGTAATAGTGGATGAATTAAAACAAAAAATCAAGAGAACATGGCTGGGTGTGGTGGCTCACACCTGTAATCCTAGCACTCTGGGAGGCCGAGGTGGGCGGATCGTTTGAGCCCAGGAGTTCAAGACCAGCCTGAGCAAGAAAGAGACCCCATCTCTACTAAAAAAATAGAAAGATATTAGCTGGACAACTTAAAATATATAGAAAAAATTAGCTGGGCATGGTGGTGCATGCCTGTAGTCCCAGCTACTTGGGAGGCTGAGGCAGGGGGATCGCCTGAGCCCAGGAGTTTGAGGTTGCTGTGAGCTAGGCTGACGCCACGGCACTCACTCTAGCCCGGGCAAAAGAGTGAGACTCTGTCTCAAAAAAAAAAAAAGAACATATTAGCAAATTGGATAAGTACTTGATATTATTCTTATATTTGCTGCTTGGTAGTCCTTGGCTATTTTTTGTCCTTTACTTCGAATTATGTTGAGTGTGTCAAAATAACAATTTTTTATTTACTTTTCTATAGATACAAGATTTCTCTACTAAAACCATCTACAAAGGCATTAGTTCTATCTTGTAAGGTATCTATTCGGACAGATAACCGAGGATTCCTTTCATTGCAGTATATGATTAGAAATGAAGATGGACAAATATGTTTTGTGGAATATTACTGCTGCCCTGATGAAGAAATTCCTGAATCTGCGTCTTGAGTATGATAATTCACTGTGATATTTTATGTATACATTCATGATAGGTTAAGTTCTCATTCTGAGTTTAGTACTTTTTATAATTTATTAGATTTTCTATAGAGAAGCATGAAGAAGATAGGAGCAAGGTCCCTGTACCCTAGTAGTTGCAATGTATTTTGTAAAATGTTTTCATGTTGTCATAGATTATCCAGAATTGGACTGTCCTGTGGTTGTCTTTTGAACTCATGGGAATCATTGTGAGCTGAGATGCACAAATTATATGTTCTATTTCAGTGGAACATTTCAAGAATCTAAAGAGTTTGTCAAAGCCATATCTGCAATATTCTTTTATTTATTTATTATTCGAAAAAGCAAAGGTATATGAGCATTGCTTATTAGTTTGAATTCTGGAGACTAGATCTTAAAGCAGTGGTTCTCAAAGTATTCTGCCCAGACCAACAGCATGAGAACCACCAGTGAACTTGTAAGAAACTCTGGAGGTGAGGCCAGCAATCTGCATTTTAACAAGCTCTTCCCAGGAAATTCTCATGCATGTTAAAGTTTGGGAAGCACTATTTTAAAGGATACTTAAAAAAGAAAAAAAAAAAGCATTTAATTGCATTGAGGTGATTGCTTTTGCATGTGATTTCTTTGCAAACATTCTGAAGTTGAGACATCACCAAACAAGTTTGAACAATTCTTTATATGATTTATGTATAAAGTATACCTTTTGAAGAAATCTATGAATAAGATATGTCTTCAGAGTTACATATTTTCTTTTTGTTCTAAAAACTGAACAGTAAGTGCTTAATAGATACCTTCCATTTGCCTATAAGTTTCTTGACCAAACCAAGGTGTAGAAAACTAGTTATTATGTGATTTTGTACTTTCCTGGGTAGTTTTCACTGAAACAATTTTTGTAGCATATAAATACTTTTTATATTTAATAAAATATTTAATAACTGAAATTATCTGACTTGTTCTCTAGTAGAAAAAATTATATGACTAAAATGAAGCTTCTTTCTTTGTTACTGTACTAGGTGACAGCAGCTCAGTGTCTCTACATGGACAGGCACTGCTGGCTTTTTGGGTGGGACAGCTCTTTATGGTAAAAGACTGTCATCCCATTGCAGGATTCATTCAGCCTCCCTGGTCCTTACTCACTAATGTCAGTCATTGTGACCACTCCCTCCCCCAAATAAAAGTACCCCAAATTATTGATTGTCAAGAACCACTCATTGATATTTACTGAAATTTAAGGATATATTATATATATTAGTAATGCCATACCTTAAAACAGGGCACATAATATTTAGAGGAAAATGGTTTGGAGAGTGTTGCAACAAAGTTCCAGAACAACGGTAGGCACTGCTTCCCAGGCATATGTACAGTTTTGGGAGATAGCCAAGGTCAGTACCTGATAACTGGTCAGTCTCTTAAGCAATCTCAGGATGCCCAGCTGCTACAAAAGTTGGAATTTCGTAAAGTGTACATGTTCAAGAAGGAAATGGATAAATCTACTGTAATAAATGTCAAAATATTTTTTGTTTAGATAAATACCAAGAACAAATCTAAAACATAATTATGAAAATTGTAGTTTCAGGGACTATAGTTTTCCTTTAAATTTGAAATGGGATATTTTTGGTTTTTGTTTTTTTCTTACTGGCGTGTACCGTGCCAAGAACAGTGCCTAGTATCAGCAAATCTGTGAAGTCCCATCTCAGTCACTGCCAGAGGTTTTGATAAATCAGCAAAGTAAATTTGTGAAGTAGGTCGTCTTTTTGAAATTAGTAGCTTGTTGATCACTATAATAGATCCTAGTAGTGGCTCTCATTGGTAAAACTAGAGGTATTCAGGATATGTGAACTGACTAAATTGTTTTAGAGTAATTCCTCATCCTTGGATGAAGACAAAATAAAAATCTAAACAAAATAAAAATCTAGTAAGGCCGTGCCCTTAGGCATGGTGTCTGAGGCTTGATCCCTAAATGGTTTTGCCTCCTACCATTTCATCCCAGAATTTCTGGTTGCTATTGCTGATTGGGTTAGGACAATCCTATCTCTGGAATATTGTCAAGCCTGCCTGAAGTGGACCTGTCACGCAAAGTGGTGGGTGAACTTACCAAATCATAAGTAGGGCTTCACTGAGCTTACAGAACAGGTTACATAAACTTTTTTTGAATGCTTGCTAAAAAATGTTTATTGAAATCTGTATGTGAAACAGTTTGATCTGGGCTTGAATTTTTTTTTCCTAACTTGATACAGAGATTGTAAGAAAATAGCTAACCCTTACCTACCTCAAAAACGTCAGTGCCTGTTAGCTAATTCAAAAGAACTGTAAAAGCTGTGTGTATTCACTCAGCTCTATTAGAAACATCAGGTATTTGCTAATTGCTGAATCCCACTGATTGAATTTAGAAAGTAGCTTCTATCGTGTTCCAGTTAGAATGTAACTATATTAGGTGGTACTGTGCTGAACATTTTAATGTGGTTTCTTAACTTTGGGATTTCACCAAAACAGTTATATTTTAAAACTTTTGGACAGAGCATGAGAATTTTTAGGGCAGTGAAACTACTCTGTATGACACTATAATGGTGGATACACGTTATACATTTTTCCAAACCGGTAGAATGTACACCACTAAGAGTGAAACCTAATGTAAACTATGGATTTGGGTGCTAATGATGTGTCAGTGTAGGTTTACATCGTAACAAATGTGCCACCACGGGGAGGGGAGAGGGTGTGGGGGGAGATGTTGATTATGGGAAAGGCTAGGCATGTGTTGGGTTGGGGGAAGATGGGAAATCTCTGGCTTTCTCTCAATTTTGCTATGAACCTAAAACTGATCTAAAAAGATAAAGTCTTTGGAAAGAAAAAAAACTTTTAGGACCAGTTAGGTGCTAACTTATTTTGTCAGGATAAGGATATTAAAACTATATGTTCATTATCTTCACCATTTCCTAAAACATGTTAACATCAAAATCTCAGAAAATAGCAACCTTATACTCAAAGAAAAACTGAAAATATTAAAAACAAATTTCAAGTGTAAGAACAGGTACACCATAAAATTTTATTTTACATTGTTATACTTATGTTACTGTTTTATCCATATAGGTTTATCAGTTTGGAGATCTTAAGAGCATGAAATAGTAACATTTTTAAAACTTTGGTGCCACCCAAAATGGAGTCTAAATATCCGCTTCTTTCTGGTGCTCTGTTTTTACCACATTGTTGAAAATCCATTTTCAACTAGGTATATGAAAATGGAAACAACTCTTCTGAGGCTACTTTAGTCAATTCAGAATATTCTGGGTAAGAACAGCAGCCCCATCTCCAGACAGGGCTAATGTTAACAATGACAGGCCAAGTGACCAGTTAATAAGCACTGCAGAGACAGACAATGGAATATAGCTGCTTTCAGCCAGGGTGGCAACTTGGGACCTCGATCCTGAGTGCCAAGCCTAATGCATCTGGGAGTTAGTTGGCAGCTGCCAGGAGAAAGCCTATCAGTCAATGGATAAATCTTTGGATGAATTCGTACATAGGTGTTTCTGCCACAGCAGAACACTACTCACTATACACTTTAGGTACTGGTTATTAGATTTTATAGACTGAACAAATGACTGAACTAAAACAATTTCATGAATGAAACCAAAATGTGGTTCTGTAAGCACTAAGTGATATAGATGTTGGTAGAGAGACACTTGGATCCCCAAAGACACAGGGTCTTTGAGCAGCATTAAATCAGCTCAAATAACTGAGAAAAGATGAAGAGGGAAAAATATTAATAAAAGTTTCTGTAGTGTAAATATGAGTGAGATTTCTCCTTTGTCTCTGAATACATGAAAAAGAAAATAAGGAATATAATTTAAGATTGCCAATAGTCTTTTCCTAGATATACACTTGTTCAAGGGCTAAGGATTTTCTTCATGAACAATCTCAGTGAGTATTCCTTTCCTAAAACAAGCCTTTTTAATTCGGTTTGGTGGAGGCAGCATAGTGGAATGGAAAGAGGGATCATCTGTGATTCAGTAAGTCAGTTTTATAATTACCAGGCTTCCCTTGAACAAATTACTTAATCTCTCTTGTCCCTAGTTTCTTCATTTATAAAATAACATGAGTACTTCAGTAAATCAGATCAGGGAAAAAGTTTCAGAAGGATCAAACATTCCCCACATGGCAGTTTTAGTGACCTCAAACAGGCTGTGACTGAACACTTCCAAATACAGTTGACCCTTGAACAACACGGGTTTGAATTGCATGGGTACACTTATACATGGATTTATTTCAATAATTATATTGGAAAATTTGGGGAGTTTTGCAACGATTTTGAAAAACTCAGATGAACCTTGTAGTCTAGAAATATTGAAAAACATTTTTTAAGTATGTCAGGAATGCATAAAATATATGTAGGTACTAGTCTATTTTATGATATACTACCATAAAATATACACAAATCATGAAAAGTTAAAATTTATCAAAACTTACATAAATAGAGACTGCACATGGTGCCATTCACAGTCAAAAAAATGTAATCCAATGTAAATATGCAGCATTAAATCATAACTGCATCAAATTCCCTGCAGTACATAGTGTACTACTGTAATAATTTCATTGCCACTTCTGTTGCTATTGCAGTAAGCTCAAGTGTTGAAGCTCAAGTGTTGTGAATATCCACTTAAAATGCCATGTGATGCTGATCATTTATGCATGAGCACTTCATCTCTCCAGTAAATTGCGTATCACAGCAAAAAGTGATTTCTCACAGTTCTTGTGTATTTTTCATCGTGTTTAGTGCAATACTGTAAACTTAAAATAACATCATGGGACCCATATGAAGTGCCACTAATGATGCTGAAAGTGCTCCCAAGAAGCAGAGAAAAGTCATGATAGTATAAGAAAAAGATGAATTGCTTGATATGTACCCTAGCTAGATTGACATCTGCAGCTGCAGTTGCCGTCATTTCAGAAGATTCATCTTATAAACAGACAACGTAAACTTATGGTATCAATAAGTGTAGTACAGTACTGTAAATGTATTTTCATTATGATTTTCTTAACATTTTCTCTAACTTCATTGTAAGAATACAGTATGTAATACATAAAACATATATGTTAACTGTTTATGTTATCAATAAGGCTTCTGGTCAACGGCAGACTATTAGTAAAGTTTTTGGGGAGTCCAGAGTAATACGTGCATTTTGAAT